CAGAGACTCGGCCTTTCCCGCCGTTTTCCGCCAGAATTGTCCCACGGCTGCTGGAACCTGAGGGCCCGACTGGGCGGGACCTTCAGTACAGTAGCCAATGAGGTGCGGAGAGGGGGCGGGCCGGCCAATGGGAGTTGCTTCCCCTAGGGACTCCGGGGGTCTTCTGCAGGTGGGTGGGACTTGCGGAGCCAGAGCAGGTAAAAGGTGATGCTGCGATGGGAGCAGCCCGCACTGGCTGGGTGGGTACCAAAGGTGTGATGGGAGGAAAATGCCAATGACAGCGGCGTAATGGAAGAGGTGCTGGAGAAGGAGTCTGACTGTGACAGCAACCAGAGGGTTATCCATGTTGGGCATCACATCTTTCTACTGTAAAATAATCGCTAAGGATTCTTCCTGTTGAGCCTCATGTTGTTCGTGTGTGTTCAAACTGCTGACTACATTCCTGACAAGGCGCTTGGGTGGCAGGGGAGACAGATAACTTCTTTCATCTTTCACTTGGTGAAAGAGAAAATCTAGGAACACTAATCCCGTTGGGACAGAGAGGAGGGAGGAGGAAGCAGGGGACAAAGTTAGTGGACCCAGTGGAGTTAGGATGAGCGGGACTTTGCAAATAATTAGAAAGTGATAGATCTAAGAAGAATCGCAGATAACTCCAAGGTTAGAAATGTAGAGGATCAGGATATCAATGGCGTTGTGGATGATGGAGAAATTGGGAAGATAGTACCAAGATAAACTCTACAGGAAAAACTAACTGCTAGACCTAGAAAGAATAAATTCTGGCAAAGTACTCTTGGGGGAAGTCAGTTGACATCCACATAGAAGTGGAGATAGAGTGATGACAGAAACTCCAAAAGAGGAAACTATTAAGAGAAGGCAGAGTTCTAAGGACTAACTCTTTTTCCCCTCCAAAGTCTACAAACACATTTACAATGTGCAAGGAATGGAGGTCATCAAAGTTAGTAGTCCAAGGGAAGGAAAGGGAAAGGGAGTACCCAGCTGGAAAGAAAGGAAAGCATGATGTCCCCGAGGTTGTTAAAGACTTTAGCTTGTAGGTGGGCCAGGGGCTGCTGGGAAGTTTTAGATGGCAAGTTGAGAGTTTGGGGATGGTTGCAATAGTCTTGAGGTTTAAGAAGGAGTAGGATTTAAGTTGTATGAGGACAAAAGGGAAGATTTTGTCTGATTCCTTTGGCATCCCAATTCTTTCCTGGAGGTAGGAGCAGTATAATAGAGGCAAGTGAGCTTCAGGCAGGGTGAGGCCAACTGTAGTCAAACTAATCATGTTCTGTATTAGTGACAGCTAGGTCAGCCATAGCACAAAGTCTTGACCAGAAGTGGGAGCCTGGCAAAGGGATATTGCTTGAGGAGTTGGCCCTGAGTCTTTGATACTGTGTCATCTTTAACTCTTTGTTTTTATAAATGTTATTATGGATTTTTAGAGAGAGAGGGAGGGAGAGGGATAGATAGAAACATCAATGACAGAGGAACATCATGGATCAACTGCCTCTTGAATAATCCCTACTGTAGGAGGATCAAGCCTACAACCCGGGCATGTACCCTGACTGGGAATTGAACCAACAACCTCTTGGTTCCTGGGTTGATGCTCAAATGCTTAGCCACATTAGCCGGGATACCTCATGCTGTATATGCTGCTGCAGAACCAACCTCAAATTTGGCACAATAGAAAAAGAATTTTTGTAGCTCAAAAGGAAGCACAAGAATAGGTTTAGCTTAAGTTGAGAATATGGGGGCATGTCAGTCCTTCTCCAATAAATAGAAGGCTAAGGAAAGGGTCCTACCCTATGTAGATTGTGGCTTACCCGATTCCTTTTATTCCAAGCCCAACACTTCTTTGAGAGAGAAGGAGGGAGGGAGGGAGAGAGAGGGAGAGAGAGAGAGAGGGAGAGAGAGAGAGAGAGAGAGAGAGAGAGAGAGAGAGAAGGAGAGAGAAGGAGAGAGAGAGGTTGGTTGTTTTGTTGTTCCACTTATTTGTGCGTACATTGTTGATTCTTATATGTGCTCTGACTGGGGATCAAACCCACAACCTTGGCATATTGGGACAAAGCTCTAATCACTTGAGCTATGTGGCCAAGGCCCCAGCCTTCCAATCCTTGAGACTCAGATTCCAAGATTTATATTTGATCTTAAACTTTTGGCTTTTTAAAAAAATATGTTTTAATTGATTTCAGAGAGGAAGGGAGAGGGAGAGATAGAAACATCAATAATGAGAGAGAACATGGACCGCTGCCTCCTGCACGCCCCCCACTGGGGACCAAGCCTACAACCCAGGCATATGCCCTTGACGGGAATCAAACCTAGGACTTTTCAGTCTGCAGGCTGACACTTTATCCACTGAGCCAAACCAGCCAGACTCGGCGCTTTTTTTTTTTAAGATTTTATTTTTTAAATTATTTTTTTTTATTGATTTAAGAGAGGAAGGGAGAGAGAGAGATAGAAACGTCAATGATGAGAGAGAATCACTGATTGGCTCCCTCCTGCCTGCCCCCTACTGGGGACAAAGTCTGCAACCTGGGCACATACCCAGACTGGAAATCGAACTTAGACCTCCTGGTTCATAGGTCTACACTCAACTTCTAAGCCACACCCGCGGGGCAACTTCCGGCTTTTAAATCTGGCTGGTTGCCTTGGTGCCAGAGTAAGGAAGTATTGAATACAATGAGATGAGATCTGCTCCATTCCTTAGGCAGGTCACTGCAGGACACAGGCATCTCTAAATTCTTGGGTGGAGGAGGATTCACTCTCTGTTGAAGAATCTGTCATTTCTTCCCTCAGCTGGTCCAGGAAGTCTCTGCTTTCACTGGGAGGCAGGTTACTCAGGAAGTATGGAGGGGCCAACTCCACCAGCCTGACACAGAGAGTCAGAATTAGATGATTTCTATATACGCTCTCATAAAGCATATTTTGAAACTTCTTACTATCCTTTCCACAAACCTTGTCTTCTCAAATCATGTTACTACAGACCACTATGATTCCGTCTTCTTCCTAAGGCTCTCTAACTAACTCCCCAGCCATATTTTTGGCCCCAGGAAGAGGAATGGGCAGTGTAGGAGGGGTGTCATGGAACTCACATCTGTGGTTGAATCTCAGAAACAATGGAAAGGCAATTGTCTTTGGAAATGGAGAAACTGTGGTAAATCACCCACGGTGGGGGCCTGGCTGGAGCCCGGCGGCTTCGGTAGCAGCAGGATGGGGAGAGCTGGGCCACATGCTTATGCGTTAGGAGCAGGTAATTTCCAGTCCCATCCGTGTCTTGGGCCACCTCATTGAAAGGCAAAGATATTGAAGGAATAAGTTATAGAGAAGAGGCAGACAGTAGAAAAAAAGTAAGGGGAGATAAGGAATTAGTAAGGGTGATGAGAGTATTAAAGTAAAGCATTTCCTCTAGATGTTAGAGCTCCTCCACACCAAAAGCTCCTTGTACCTCAAAGGAAGTTTCTGCTGGTTCTATAGAATCCTCTGAATGGCCATTTGGACCCCAGTTTTCAGAGATGGCATACCAATCTTTGGTCTCTCTGACTTCCAATCCTTTTATGCCTTCCCCTAACCTTAAGGAAGTATCCAGACACCAGTGCTTTCTGAAGGTCTCTGCGATTCTTCTCAGAGCCAAAGGCTGGTTGGGACAAGGGAAGTTCAATTCGTTGCATAAGTTCTAGGAGTTCTCCTCGAAGTTTCTGGGCTTGGCACAGTGCTGCCCAGCTTAGACCCCGAGCCTGGCACCAAGCCTTGTCTGCTCCACCTAGGAGAGGAAAGGGACCAGCTACAACTAAAGCCCTTAAGACCCCTGAAAGAACCAAACCCTTGGCCAAAGGGCCTCCTCTTCCTAGGCATGGAGATCTGTCAGCTGGTTGCACACCACTTGTGGAATATCTGGGATTCTATAAGACAATGCAGAGTGGGCCACTCACTCTGTAGAAAGGCTTCATACACCTGGATCAGAGAACTGTGGTCACCGTCCGCATGCTCCAGGGCCCGGCGTAAAGCAGCTTCCTCTGCACAGAGTGGAGGATGGGTAAACCCGGGGGCAGCTGCAGGCAGGAGAGAGGAAGGATGTTTGGGGGAATTCGAAAGGATAGCAGAACAGGTGGAAAGGTACAAAGGTAGAAATGTCACTTTGGGGACTTAATTCAAAAGATATTGATAACTTCTAAGTGCTATGCACTTTATTAGACATTGAAGGTAAATGAAAGACAGTCTCTGTCCTCAAGGAGTCTGGTGGGAGACAAACAAGTGAGCAAACCTGATGAGCAAGATAGGTGTGTGGGCCAATATTTGAACTTTGAGTAGGAATTAGCTCAGTGGCAAAGGGCTGGAGAGAGGATTCTGGACTGTGGGCACAGCAAGTTAGTAGCAGGGCATGTTTGGAGAACTGTAAGCGCCTAGTATGGGTGGTTGGAATGGCGTGCATGGCAGAGTTACGGGGGATAAAGCTGGGGAGGTAGGTAAATGAGTTTACAGTCTGTCTAGAAGGTAAAAAATAGCTGTTGAAGAGTTTTTAAGTAAGAGAGTCCCTGTGTTTGAAGAAGTTTAAAATTCACATGACTAATTAGGAGGCTACTGAAGGAGTCCAGCTGAGCACTGACAGAACCTGACAGTGAGTATGGAGAACAGCAGATTAATTAAAATAATACTTAAGAGATAAAAATGAAAGAAACCAGAGATAGATTAGTCTAAAATGAGGGTAATGGAGCTGCGGAGATGATGGTATCATTTTGTGGTGAGGTCATTTAAGAAAGTGTTCAAGTTTAGTTCTGGCTTGAAGTACTGTGGACTATTCTGGTAGACAAGTCCATCAGGAGTTAAACATATAAATCTAAGATTCAGAAGAATGGCATTGACAGGGAGATACAAGATTTGTATATTTTAAGTGTGAGGGTATCCCTTCAGAGCATGGGTGTGGATGAACTTGCTTAGACAGTTCAGGGAATGAGAAGACACAAAGGGCAAGAATACAAAACCCTGAGGTCCAACTTACAGTGGATGAGCAGAAGATGAAGCGCCCAAGTAAGACATTAAGGGAATGGTAGGGAGGTAGGATGAGAACCAGGAGGAGTGGTCACAGAGGTTTAGTGGGGCAGTTTCAAGGTGGGAGTGGCCAACATTCTGAAGTGTCAAAAGGTCATGAATGAGCCCTAGTTGATTTGGCTCAGTGGACAGAGCGTCAGCCTAGGGACTGAAGAGTCCCAGGTTTGATTCCGGTGAAGGGCACATGCCCGGGTTGTGGGTTCGATCCCTAGTAGGGGGCATGCAGGAGGCAGCCGCTCAATGATTCTCTCATCATTGATGTTTCTCTCTCTCTCTCTCCCTCTCCCTTCCTCTCTGAAAAAAGAGGAAAAAAAAAAGGTCATAAATGAGAGCTCAAAAGTGTTCACTGGGTTAGGTCTTCAGGTCACTGGTGAGCTGAAAGCTGTCTCAGTGTGGTGGACCTGAATCTGGAGTGTGGTGGGTGAGGAATACACTAGATGGAATAGGTGGAGATTAAACCATCTAGCTGAAGAGGAGTATAGGGTTGAGGAAGAGGGGGGAAGAGTCTGAGTAATAACAGATAGAAGAGATTCAAGCATGTTGAGAGGAAGAACCAGCAGAAGGAAAAGGCTAAAGAGACAGAAGAGCGATAACTGATGAAACCTGGTTCTTAGGCATCGCGTGGTAGAAACGGGAGCTCGGGGGAAAGGGCTAACCTTTGGAGCACCAACACACCAAGGGGAAGGACTGAAGTAGCCACAGGAGCCAGGGAAAGAGGTGAGTTATACCCGTGAGCATGGCAGCAAGGGTGAGCATCTCATCCACACACTCAAACTCGCATGAAGCCAGCAGGGCTTTGGCCAACTCAGGGGGCAGAGGGAACTCTGATAGGATGACACCTAAGTCTGACAGGTGTCCGTTGTCATCCAGGGCTGCCAGGTAGTCTAAGTCTTCCAGGGCCTGCATCAGTGCTTCTGGAGCTGGGGAGGAAACAGGGCTTATAGCACAGAGGACCTCAGAGCCTGTGGTCAGACAGCAGGACTTGGGCAGGAGGAGTGCTCACCAGGCCGGTCCAGGAAGTGACACTCCCCTGGCTCTGCAATCTGTCTCCTCTTTAGCAGTAATACCAGGGGGCTCAGATTTTCCTCACACAGCCTGGGTTGGGGCAATGGGGTAGCTTCTAGCTCTTGGAAGGACTTAGGATACAGGCAGAGGCAGGATCCTGAGGGGAAAAAGACCTGGGAAAGAAGACCACTGTAGATTTCTCGGGGCTTGCGTGTCAGTGACTTTCATGGGCGATGTCGGGGAGGACAAAGGCTCTTACCTGGAGGGGCCCCTCTTGCCCGTAGTTGTCTTGCCTTTGCCTGACACTTGCTGATTGGTCTCAACACTTGGGATTCTGCTCGGATCTGAGGATTGTACACCTGTCACCGCCCGCCAACCAAGGTCAAGACAGATTAGAGTGGGCCATTCATATCTTTAGCCTCCACAACCCCTCATCTTTGTCACTCACACTGCGAAGCTCCAGTCCTGAGTCAATGACATGCCGAATGGAAGGGAGGGAGAAGGAGAAGTCAGCCAGCCAGTGAGTGACCACAATCTTTCGGGCACCCGAGTCTGTGTCTTCATACACAGCCTGGACAGCTTGACCATGGCCTGGGTGAAGGGGCAGCACCCGTGGTGGAGGTCCTTGGATTGCCAAGGTCCCTACCTCCCTGGACAAGGATTCACAGCACAGGGAAATTTCCTGAGGAGAGGGTTGGGGTGTTAGGGCACTTCTCACTTCTTTTGGGTCACAGACCTCTTTGAAAAACTGATGAAAGCTATGGCCTTTCACTCTGAAAAAATGCACATACTCATAAAAGTTGGGGAGTGTTATAATTTCAGGAATTCATTGAACCACTAATCTCTGCATTTGATGGAATAAAAAAGAGGGTAGTAGACATCTTTACCCTGAAATCCTTGAGTGTTTCCCCAGGACCCCAACATAGTGAATACTACAACTCCAGTGTTCCTAACAAGCAGTGCTCCTGTTCCCAGGACAGGAAGGTGGCATAAGGAGCACCTCCTTTTGCAGCCCGTTTTTTTACCTCCTCACTGGGCAGGTACACTAGCACGTCTCCTGGAGCCTCCTTTCGACACAATTCAAGCACAGCTTGGCAGGCAGCTTCCACTCGATCAGGAGGGACAGTGTCCCTGTAGGTGGGAGTGGGACACCTGCCAGGCCCTCTGGGTACACGTACAATAGGAGGATTGCCCCAGAAGGCTTGGAGCTTAGGTTCAAGGGCTGGGTCAGTGACCACCACCACTTTGGGGTCCCCTGGAAGGTTTCCCAGCCTGGCATCTCGCAGCAGCCCCTGGAGCAAGTCTGAGGCCACTGACCGCTCTTGAACCTCATCCAGTACCAGCACATCCCAGGATCCAGTGCCCCGGGTTGAGGCCACCTCCTGAAGAAGCAGCCTGTCCCAGCAAAACCTGTTGACATTGGCAGTGGGCAGGAGTCAGTGCGGATATTGGCCAGCCTGTCCAGGGGAGTTTCTACCCAGGGAGCCTAGATTTTGATAGTTAAGGTCAGAAAAATACTGTGACTGAATTCCTTAACAGTGACCCACAACCTTACTGACTGGTGACACTTTGTTCAGAAGCTGTACCCCAGCTGGGAAAGTCAGACTTTTGTAATGAGTGTGAGGATGAATGTGAGGTCCAGGCTAGGATTAAAGAGTCTAATTCAGCAATGCATAGTGCATGCTTTAAAGGGCGAGCTGGGCTGAGAGGTTATGGTGAGGTGTCAGAGGGCTGGGCCTGCTCCTATTGCGTGAGGGGAATTAGATTTGAATCAGGCCTGGAAGAAGCCTCACCTGAGCAGGGTTTGGGGCCCAGTGCAATCCTCCTGGGGGATGCTGTATCCAACCTCATGACCCAGGGTCAGGTCCATCTCATCAGCAACCTGCAGGGCCAGGCTCAGGGCTGCCAGAGGGTAGGGCTGAGTGACAGTTACCTGGCATCCCCTAGCCAGTGCAAACTCTGCACACCACTGAGGGATCTGGGGTAGGGAAGGACAACCAGTCAGCAAGACACAGGACTTCAGTCGGAAGGGCTAGGGGAGCTATGGCCTTATTTGGGGGCATACACTGGTCTTTTACCACCCGGGGGCCAGCTTAACCTGACTCCTTTGCCTACCTCCCCCATAACCCCTGGCAGTCCAATCCCCCTCTGCCCAAGGAAGGGCCAATTTCCTAGCTTCTCCCCTTGTCTCTCCCAGAATCTACCCCCACCTGGGTGCTCTTGCCAGAGCCAGGCTCTCCGGACACAATCACCACTCCACTGGGGCTACTCTCCAATTGCTCCAAGAAGACAAAGCGAGCAGCCCAGATGGGCAAGGCTCGGCGCTGCTCAAGCAGGTCGTAGTAGTGGGAAGAGAAGGGAAGCCCGTCAAAGGGGTTCACAGCCAGTTCAGACTCCCCAGGGCTCAGGCCAGACTCTTCTGTCAGGCCAAGTAGCTGAGAGGCCATGACAGCTCACCGCAGTACCTACAGAAGGCAGGGCAGTCATTAAGGCCTCATACCATCTTTGCACCTCAGCCCTGATCCCCAACCTTTTACCCTCAGCTGGTAATGCACTGAGGTCCATCCTTCCAAGAACTTTTTAAAAAAAAATCATCACCTGAGGATATTTTTCCACCGATTTTTGCAGAAACATTGATATGAGCCATATTGATTGGTTGTTGAATCTGTAACCCAGGTGCCTTTGATCAGGAATCAAACCGAGGCTCTTTGGTGCCCAGGGCCCTCACTCCAACCCCTGAGAACACTTGTCAGGATCGTGTGTGTGTGTGTGTGTGTGTTTTTAATCCTCACCTGAGGATGATTATTGATTTGGGGGGTTGGGTGGGAGAGGGAGAGAGATCAGTCTGTTGCCTCCCATATGCACCACAACTGGGTGGCTTGAACCTGCAATCTAGATATGTACCCTGACCAGGAACTGAACCCTCCACCTACCCGTATATGGAGGTATACGGGGTAATGCTCCAACCAACTGAACCACCCAGCCAGGTCCTCCCCAGCACTTCTTGGCTGCCAGGAAATAGTGGAGACCTAAGTCTCCAAGTAAAGGACTATCAGAAGTGGATTATCCTGAAGCAGGTAGTAAAAATCCTGTGACTAACATAGGAGCCCTCAGGGGCAGCATGAATTATGTGAGACCTGGGGGAAGGACCCCGAGGGAAAAGGATAAAGAATAAAAGGAGGGGAGTAGGGCCACAGGATCCTGGAATCAAACCTGCTTGCAGCTCTGAGACGTGTCAGGACGGCAGCCAGTTCCAGAACCGCACAGCCAGTTCCCACCAACCTTGACCAGCATGAAGTACAAAGGTCAGTTCCGGCTCCACCCTGGGGCTTGGCTCAAATACAATTCTAGACACTTCTGGGGTGGAGCCATTTGCTCCGCCTTATTTAACCTAGTCAGGAGCCTATGGAAAACAGACTCCAGCCATCACATTGAGGTATGAACTCTATATAAACACCATGTTCAGTGAAAGGCATCCTGGGACTTGTAGTTTTGCAGCTGTTTCTTCACAAACCTGGGCTGAACACCCCAGCTGTGTTCAGTTGCTGTTGGGTCTTCAGTTCAGTTACACTTCCTTAATATCATTCATTTCTTGACATGAGGAGGCGATTTCTGACAGTTCCATTCTGACCACCCCCCACAAACCTACAAAGAAGACCTCATCCCCGTTCCACCCACACGAGGAAAAAGGAACCTGTTCAGGATGCTTTTTAGACCCAGAGAGGCAACAGAGACCTTGAGTGAAAGCCCTGAATTTAATGTGATACTGGGGGGAGCCCCATCTCTCCCTTTCTACCACCCACCCATCCGGCCTGTTGAGCTGGGTGAGGGCTGCCCCCAGTCTCCGTCCTGCGGCTCTGGGTGCCATCCTGTGCTCAGTCAGCCTCCTGGGCCTGTCTCTCTGTGAATCTCCTGTGGGACACAGGGGGGAGACATCGTGTGGGCTTTGCCATATTAACTCCATAATTAGCTCCCTTCTTCAACCTGCCCCTTCCTACCCATTACTCTCTAAGCCCCTCACCTTCTTGCATATTCATATAGTGCTTGCTTGCGCTCCTGTAGGCTTTCTTGCCGGGCCCAGGAGGACTTGGCAAATGTTAGGGCTGTGGGCTGAGGGGTCACCGGGCCAGAGCTGGGGAACTGAGGTGATCACAATGTCAGAGGGCTTGCGAAGTCATCATCATTAAACCTGCATCGAATGCCTACTTTGCAAGAGAGGCACTGTGCTAGGGTCTCAGGATCAAAACAGAGACATCAGGGAAAGGGAGTATGCAGACTGCCCCACCCACCCCAGGTCTTGGATCTGACCATTTCCTGGGTCTCACCTTGGGGGCAGAGGCTGTGGGAAGGGCCTGGGTCCCCTCAGTGATGTCTTCAGGTATGAAAGCTACAGCTCCCTCAAGTAAATTGGTGATGGTCAAGTCTACACATCCAGTCCTGGCTGGGGAGAAGGGAAGAGAGGAGAGGGGGCCTGTTTCCCTGCTCACCTTTCCCCCTTATCACCCACTTTTCCTCTCTGTGTTTTCCTGTGTGGGGCTACCCTTTCCCATACCGAGATCTCTCTGGATGACGCCCAGTGGCACATGGGGTAAAACCTCCTTGACTCTTTGAGCCAGAGTTGCCAGCTGCACATCAGGAGAAGGGCCAGGGGAGGGGGGAAAAGAAGACTGGGCTGCAAAAAAGAAATCCAAAATATGGTGAGTGGAGACGGGGAGGAAGGAAAGACTGACGAGCACAGAATAGGGAAGACATCACAATGAGCTGAAGGAAAACAAAAAGCTCGGTGTACAGAGACCACACACCTGACTGGGGGTGCAATCTGGCATGTCTTTGTCGCTTCATGTGCTCTGCTTTGTCTGCGGGAGTGAGTCGTGTCCCTGTCTGGCCCAGTTCTTTGGCCACCAGCTAGGGAGAATCGGAAGGTTGGGAGTGTCAAGGTCTCAAGCCTTCGTCCCTCTCCACCTGAGGAAAGACCCCGCCTCCACCCTGCCTGTGTACCCTACCACCTGTTGTACACGGAGGGCGAACTCCTCATTCCCCTCCCCCAGCTGGCGATGAACAGGACGGAGCCACCTGCAAAAAACAATCCAGGGCCATGCTGGGGGCACCTGCTGATACCTCTCTTCATGGGACAGTGGTGGTGAGGGCGGGGAGAGAGCAAATTCTTTGTATTGGCTCTCTGGTGGAACCTTGCTATTAAAAGATCTGCTAGTGGACAGGGCAGAGGCAACTACTTTCTTGACCCTGAGGTGAACTTTTCCCAGCCACCAAAAAATGAGGACAATACCTTACTTGGTACACCGTGAAAGGGACAAAAAGTGACCACAACAGTTCTGACACCCAGGAGGCATCTGACACCGTCTGAGAGGAAGGCACGAAGTGAGATCTAAGTCAGGGCGGGAGTGGGAAACTCTCCCCCAAGCCCCAAGGATTCCCTATGCAACATGCACTCACCACGGAGACTAGGGGTCTCTGGACTCGAAGGGTAAGAGGCTGTACCACATCCTGGATAGAAAATGGCCAGGAACTGGAAGGAAGAGAGAACAGAATGGGACTCCAGCCAGCCCAGCCGGCAGCTCATACTTGACTCAAAACCGGAACTGTCACACTGCCCACGTCGATACATGGGGACTAAAGGGACTCGGGGGTAAGTAAGAGCCAAAAGTGGACAGGAAGGAAATGAACGAAGAATGGAAGGGGTTAGGGCTGAAGAAGGTTCTGAAAACCCAAGGGCCCTCAAGCTTGACTACCAAGGCATGTGGAGGCCAATACCTGTGCTCACTCACCTGAAGCGCAGGAGCCCCTCCCGGCCATTGGTGGCCTCTTCCTCGGGGAAGAGCAGCAGAGGGGTCGGTGGAAGCCTCGTGGAAGCACAGAATCTCTTGAGTGACTCCACCAACTCCCCCCGCCCATCCATCTCCAGGAAGCCCCGAGACCAGCACACAAAGCTGGGGGGGCTATTGAGTAGAGGCTGGGAACAGGGGAGAGAGAAGGCAAGAAGAATGTTGTGAAGTGACAAAACTGACCAATGGGGGACGGGGGTAGAAACGGGGTTCGGGGTGCGGCTCAGTATCTGGTGGCGTCCCAGGCAACACCGGGCAGGCAGAGGGTGGCCTGGCGCTGGGCCCCCGGGCACTGCCCTGGGGAGTTCTGGCTTCGCCCCACTCACGGTGCTGCAGCTGGTGAGCAGGTTGACTATGTTGTGATCGAAAGGCGTCACGTGGTTGGAAATGAGGACCCGGACGCGGTGATCCCGGAGTCCCGAGTCCTCCTGCCGGGCCACGAGCCCCAGCACCGCACACATGGTCCGCACCACGAACCTGCGGGCGCAGGCGATCGTG